CCATTGCTCCCGGGATTTTAGTCGCCTCATACGACAAAGCATGGCTTACGGGAAAGATTCTTTTCCCTTCCCATGGACAATAGAAGAAATAAGGAAGAACAAGAGCTATTTAGAAAAAGGGGAAAAACCTAGATGTATGTATATATAATATATATATATATATATTTTATAATATATAAAATATATATATAAATATATATAAATATATATTATATATAATATATATAAAATATGTATTTTATATATATATATAATAATATGCATATGCAGAGCGTGTCTGTGAAGTGTGACCAAAGTGTAAGTACGAGTAGCAAGATATCCCTGTTATCTAGCGTGTTTATGAGACAGAAAAAGAAACCAGCAATCCTACCATCATGTAAAACAGTTAGAGGTTTCTGTTTCACAGTCATCTGGCAGGACGGTAGTACTTCCCTGGGTGGTTGCTGTCTACCAACCTACTACTACTATAAATACTTCCTCAAAAAAACCTGTTGGGCTCCTCACATACTTCTTGGTTGTTTTTTTATTAACTCCCCACCTTCTTTCCCCGGCTATGTTGTTTTCGTACTGCCGCTGGGTCTCCCTCGATATCTGTGCATACTCACTTATGGCTCATCGACTAATCTATTTTCCTGGGTCCTTTACCTTCTGTATTTTTCCATTCTGTAGTGCACTTATTTTTTTCCCTCCCTTTGGGTAAACCAAGGGCTCTTTCTGGTCTTCTCATTACTTCTGTTACCCTTGGGAACAAACCTTTCCTCTGCCTCCTTGCATTTTTTTGTTACGTAATTCATCATTTCGTTTTACTGACTTTCCCACTGAACCTCCTGCAGGAAGGTCCTCATACCTGTGTAGTCTCCCCTTTGATAGACTGGCTTTTATCCTTCTACTCCTGTTACCCTCTCCACTTGTAGCTCTACGATGTATTCAAAGTTAAGAACCATGTGGTCACTAATTCCAAGGGGCCTTTCATATGTGATGTCCTCAATGTCTGTGCTATTCAGGGTGAACACAAGTCCAGTCTTGCTGGTTCATCCTCCCCCTCTCTCTCTGGTAGTGTCCCTAACATGTTGGTGCATGAGGTTTTCCAGTACCACATCCATCACCTTGACTTTCCATATTAAGGGACCCCCATGTGGCTCAGGATTTCCCAATCAATCTCCCTGTGGTTGTAATCGCCAATAACCAGTAACTTTGCTCTACTCGAGTGACCTCTCCTGGGCACCTCAGCTAGAGTGTCCACCATTGTTCTGTTGCTCTCATAATCCTCTCTTGGCCTTCTGCAGTTTGTGGCGGGTTATGCATTATTGCAATGACTACCTTATGTTCCCCTGACTGAATTGTACCTACTGTGTAAACCCCTTTCTCCAATTTCGTCCATTCTTTCCATTTCCTGATATCCCCATCGGTTTTTAGTGAGCAGTGCAACTCCTCTCCCCCTCTGTTCCTTCTATCCTTCCTCAGGATCTGATATCCAAGTGGGATTATTGCGTCTGTTATTGCCCCAGTGAGTTTTGTTTCTGTAACTGCTGTGATACCTGGTCCAGGGAGAATGGAGAGTTTTGAGGAGCAGGTGCCCTGGAGGGGGCCTATATGGGGTTGCTGTGTGGGGTGGGGTTTGTGGTGTGGGGGTGGAGACAGAGGGCCTATGGGGGTTACAATGGGGGTGGGGTTTTTGGTGAGAGGGATGGGGGTAGAGAGTACAGTGTGTGGGTTACTGTGTGTTGCTGTGGGGATGGAGTTTGTGTTGAGGGGGATTGGGGAAGGGGGTACGGTGTGTGGGTTTTGGATTATGTTGTTTGGTTGCATTGGGGTTGCCATGGTTGGATTCCTTCTGTGGGTGGTTCTGGAGGAGGTTGTGTTTGCTCTTCCACATGGGTCTGGTTTCTCCTGCTCCCCTCCTTCCTTGCCTCCCATTCCTCCTAGTGACATTGCACTCTCTCTTTCAGAATCTTCCTTTCTTCTTGTGTTCTGTTTCAGTCACGGTACACACCGGTACTCTGCTTTCTCCCTTAGACACGCTTTCTCCTACAGGATTCAGTTTCGAGCCGGCTCTGCCTTGAAAATCATTTTGACTGGCCGTTTTTTTCCCTTCGCAAACCGCCCAATTCTCCGAAAATTTGTCATCTGTGTCAATCTCTTTTTTCCCTGTTTTCTTGCTTTGTAAGTTTACCCTTCAGCTTCTGTGTGCATGTATGAGTGTATGTGTATGTGTATGTGTGTGTGTGTGTGTGTGTGTGTGTGTGTTGTGTGTGTGTGTGTGTGTGTGTGTATGTGTGTGTGTTCTCACCTAATTGTGGTTGCAGGGGTCGAGTCTTAGCTCCTGGCTCTGCCTCTTCACTGGTTGCTACTAGGTCCTCTCTCTCCCTGCTCCATGAGCTTTATCAAACCTCGTCTTAAAACTATGTATGCTTCCCGCCTCCACTACGTCACTTTCTAGGCAATTCCACTGCCTTACTACCTATAACTGAAAAATACTTGTGTGTGTGTGTGTGCTTGTGTGCTCGTATGTGTGTCCCAACAATTAATATTTGCACTAATAACTCATTGCAGTTGTGTGGAGGGTGTGGACGTGTGAATAGCTCAATATTTTGTTAGTTGCTCATGACTGTAACCATGTGAGGTATATAGATAGTTGTAATAATGTTGCTAGAATTACCGATAATATGTAAAGTAAAAGGACACAAGTGCAACTAATGTGACATTTTATTGTGGCAACGTTTCGCTCTCCGGGAGCTTTGTCAAGCTGTTACAAACAATACATGGACACACAGGATATATATAGGCTCAGAGTGAGGTGCAATACTAGTGGTGGTAGTAATAGTAGTAGTGACTACTACTACAACTTATGTCACTACTACTACCACCACCACTAGCATTGCACCTCACTCTGAGCCTATATATACCCTGTGTGTCCATGTACTGTTTGTAACATCATGACTAAGCTCCTGGAGAGCGAAACGTTGCCACAATAAAATGTCACATTAGTTGCACTTGTGTCCTTTTACTTTATTACGTATAGACAGTTCATTACCTTTGTAACTTGTCAGGATTTTGATCAGATCTACCTGGAGTTCTTCACCTTTATAAGTTGGTCAGCTACCAAAACTTTGGGGTCCAGTCCCTGGACCCATTGTGTACCTCTGTAACCTTTGGACTACCACCCACAGGATGGGTCTGGGGTGACTACCACCCACAGGATGGGTCTGGGGTGACTACCACCCACAGGATGGGTCTGGGGTGACTACCACCCACAGGATGGGTCTGGGTGACTACCACCCACAGGATGGGTCTGGGGTGACTACCACCCACAGGATGGGTCTGGGGTGACTACCACCCACAGGATGGGTCTCGGGTGACTACCACCCACAGGATGGGTCTGGGGTGACTACCACCCACATGATGGGTCCGGGGAGACTACTACCCACAGGATCGGTCTGGGGTGACTACCACCCAGAGGATCGGTCTGGGGTGACTACCACCCACAGGATGGGTCTCGGGTGACTACCACCCACAGGATGGGTCTGGGGTGACTACAACCCACAGGATCGGTCTGGGGTGACTACCACCCAGAGGATCGGTCTGGGGTGACTACCACCCAGAGGATCGGTCTGGGGTGACTACCACCCACAGGATGAGTCTGGGGTGACTACCACCCACAGGATGGGTCTGGGGTGACTACCACCTACAGGATGGGTCTGGGGTGACTACCACCCACAGGATGAGTCTGGGATGACTACCACCTACAGGATGGGTCTGGGGTGACTACCACCCACAGGATGAGTCTGGGATGACTACCACCCACAGGATGAGTCTGGGGTGACTACCACCTACAGGATGGGTCTGGGGTGACTACCACCCACAGGATGGGTCTGGGGTGACTACCACCCACAGGATGAGTCTGGGGTGACTACCACCCACAGGATGGGTCTGGGGTGACTACCACCCACATGATGGGTCTGGGGTGACTACCACCCACAGGATGAGTCTGGGGTGAATACCACCCACAGGATGGGTCTGGGTGACTACCACCCACAGGATGGGTCTGGGGTGACTACCACCCACAGGATGGGTCTGGGGTGACTACCACCCACAGGATGAGTCTGGGGTGAATACCACCCACAGGATGGGTCTGGGGTGACTACCACCCACAGGATGGGTCTGGGGTGACTACCACCCACAGGATGGGTCTGGGGTGACTACCACCCACAGGATGGGTCTGGTGTGACTACCACCCACAGGATGAGTCTGGGGTGACTACCACCCACAGGATGGGTCTGGGGTGACTACCACCCACAGGATGAGTCTGGGGTGACTACCACCTACAGGATGAGTCTGGGGTGACTACCACCCACAGGATGAGTCTGGGGTGACTACCACCCACAGGATGAGTCTGGGGTGACTACCACCCACAGGATGAGTCTGGGGTGACTACCACCCACAGGATCTGTTTGAGGTGCTTAATAAAGATATTAATGTAAATAGTAGTCGAGGGACGGGACATGAATTAATGGCCTTCCTTGAAGAACTGAATTATATATAATTCATATTATTTCTTCAACTTAATGGCCTATAACAACTGGCTCAACTCCTAAGTATTAATTTATAGCTAAGTAAAGATGGCAGCAAATATTTTGGGTCGAACATGTTCATGTAATTGTAAGAATTAAAATTCATATTTATTTCCACATGATATATTGTACATCCAGGAATAGTTGACACTTTAATGCTTGCAGAAAGCCCATAGTTGTACAGAACATTTTGGGCAAGCTTAAGCTTAATACTACAAGAGCAATAAACAATGCAAGTATGTTTTTAATAATTAGTGGTGTTCATGTCTTATTGGCCCTGGTAGGTCATTGTTATCATTTTACATCAAAATAGAGCAAGAAATATATTTGTAACAATATTCTATATTTTCTTGGGGTTTTAAGGGGTAACTCAAATTTTCATTGTACTCACATACTTTAATTTTAATCTTATGTTATCTGTTTCCTCAGGTCGTCGCTACGAGTTGAATGACAAGGAAATTCAATCATTTATGGCGCTACTAAAGTTCTTACAAGAAGACGTCGTTAGTGTGTTTCTTCCATCCTTCTTTCCTATACTAAATTATCTCCCAAGATTCCTGACAAGAAAACTCCTTAAGCTTGATTTAGTAGACGATGTTAAACAGAATGTCTTCAAATTTATGGGGGTAAGTCTGGACACGACCTTATTTTATACACATAACACTTAGCTTAAAAATGTTTGGAAGAGATGTAATGCCAGTAGATATGGCCAGTAGATATGACCAGTTAATATAGCCAGTAGATATGGACAGTAGATGTGGGCAGTAGGTATAGCCAGTAGATATGGCCAGTAGATATAGACAGTAGATATGGCCAGTAGATATGACCAGTTAATATAGCCAGTAGATATGGGCAGTAGATATGGCCAGTAGATATGACCAGTTAATATAGCCAGTAGATATGGGCAGTAGATATGGGCAGTAGATATGGGCAGTAGGTATAGCCAGTAGATATTGCCAGTAGATATAGACAGTAGATATGGCCAGTAGATATGACCAGTTAATATAGCCACTAGATATGGACAGAAGATATAGCCAGTAGATATGGGCAGTAGATATGACCAGTATATATTGCCAGTAGATATGACCAGTAAATATGACCAGTAGATATGGACAGTCGATGTGACCAGCAGACATAACCAGTTAATATAGCCAGTAGATGTTGCCAGTAGATATGACCTGTAAATATGACCAGTAATGGACAGTAGATATGACCAGTAGATATGACCAGTAGATATGACCAGTAGATATGGCCAGTAGATATGGCCAGTAGATATAACCAATAGATATGGCCTGTAAATATAACCAGTAGATATGGCCAATAGATATGACCAGTAGATATGACCAGATGTGGCCGGTAAATATAACCAGTAGATATGGCCAATAGATATGACCAGTAGATATGACCAGATGTGGCCGGTAAATATAACCAGTAGATATGGCCAGTAGAATATAGCCAGTAGATATGACAAGTGGCTATGGCCAGTAGGTATGGCCAGTAGATATGGAAGGTAGATATGACCAGCAGATATGACCGAAAGATATGGCAAGTATATATGACCAGTAGATATGGCCAGTAGATCTGGCCAGTAGATATGACCAGTAGATATGGCCGGTAAATATAACCAGTAGATATGGCCATTAGAATGTAGCCAGTAGATATGACCAGTAGATATGTCCAGTAGCTATGGCCAGTAGATATGACCAGTAGATATGGCCAGTAGCTATGGCCAGTGGATATGGCCAGTAGATATGACCATTAGATATGACCAGCAGATATGACCAGTAGATATGACCAGTAGATATGGGCAGTAGATATGACCAGTAGATATGAAAAGTATGTATGACCTTAAGATATGAACAGTAGATATGGCCATTAGAATATAGCCAGTAGATATGACCAGTAGATATGGCCAGTAGCTATGGCCAGTAAATATGACCATCAGATATGACCAGCAGATATGGCCAGTAGACAAGGCCCGTAGATATGGGCAGTAGATATGACCAATAGATATGACCAGTAGATATGACCAGTATATATGACCTGTAGATATGACGAGTGGATATGGGTAGTAGATGTTGCCAGTAGATAGACCAGTAGATATTGCTAGTAGATATGACCTGTAGATATGTCCAGTAGATATGAGCAGAAGATATGGCCAGTAGATATGGCCAGTAGATATGGCCAGTATATAGCCAGTAGATATGGGTAGTAGATAAGGCCAGTAGATGTAGTCAGTAGATATGGCCAGTAGATATGGGCAGTAGATATAGCAAGTAGATATAACCAGTAGATATAGCCAGTAGATATGGGCAGTTGATATGGGCAGTAGATATGGGCAGTAGATATAGCCAGTAGATATGGGCATTAGATATGTCCAGTAGATATGTCCAGTAGATGTGGGCAGTAGATGTGGGCAGTAGATGTGGTCAGTAGATATAGTCAGTAGATATGGCCAGTAGATATGGCCAGTAGATATGGGCTGTAGATATGGGCACTAGATATAGCCAGTAGATATGGCCAATAGATATGCCCAGTACATATGGGCAGTAGATATGGCCAGTAGATATAGCCAGTAGACATGAGTAGGAAATATGGCCAGTATGTTTGTATGTCTGTATGTTTTGCTCAGGGTAGAGCGAACTTTAGTTTCTTAAAAAAAAAGAAAAACTTTTCAGCATATTGTCTATATATATATATATATATATATATATATATAATATACATGAGTTGTTTGTTTTAGTAAACAATACAGTATTGATAACAGTAGACAGTTATATGTCATAAATGTTAGTACAGTAACTTCAACTTGTAAAATGTTACATGTTCCTAAGATCCTCATTATAAAGTGTAGTTGTATGATAAATGTGAAGATTGTAAGTTGCAAAGTGTTCGTGTGTCACACTTTGTAGTTTCCATTGCAAGTGTGGATGAGTTTGACTTCAGTGCACTTAATTATTAGACTTTGTCTACATATATAGTTATGTGTACTGTCTTCGTCTACATATATAGTTATGTGTACAGTCTTTGTCTACATATTGTTACGACTTTGATGTTGTAACTTAATTGAAATGTTCCTGGCTGCTAAAGGCTGCTCACACTGCTGTGTCGGGGTTATAAAATTACACTGAAATACAGAGCAAACCTTGTGCCAGCATGTACTCGTATGTTAAATATTAATTATTACTATTATAAGGAACAACACAAAAACTCACTTATATAAAAATATATCTATATAATATTAATACTGACTTACATACAGCTTACAATCTACTCCAAAAGAAAAAAAAACACCGAACTCCAGTTCCCATTAACTCACTAGCTCACTAATGAGTTTAACAAATTAAAATAAAATAACTTTTATGAAGAGGGAGGTTCCATGACATGCACACCCCGGTCTTCACTTTTGTCTGGTAGACTAATTACCAGCAGACAAAACACCATACAATACTCTCACATAAACACAGGTCCCTGCATATTAGGGATTTACAAATAAACATGAGATCACTTAAACACAAAAACCTATAGTATACACTAAAAAAAACTTACCAAAATTACCTACCACCCAGACATTATGACTTCACCTCCGTCACCATCCGTCTCATACTGAACTAAACACACCTCTCATCTACTCCTGTCATGGCCACTGCCTGACAGGAATAAAACGCATTCACTTTCAGTTCCATCCCAGAACTATGTTACACGGAAAATGACATTATATATGGAGCGTTATTTTATATAGACATATTTTTTACTTTACATAACAATGCATAAAGTTATGTCTACTGTCTTTGTCTACATATATAATGTTATATGTACTATCTTTGTCAATTTGATCTTAAAATTTCCTCTGCATCATCTACCAACGAGAATCAATTCATTTTTCTTATATACAGTATTTTACATCACTCAAATTATGTATGATCATTGTTCATATTCTTACCTTGCAGACAAAACTTAAGAAGACAACAAGTAAATTCTTATCAAGACTGTCTTTTGGGAGAAACTTTTAAAGATCTACTTAGCCTGTAATAACATTTGTTTATAATGTACAAAAAATCGCACTTGAAGAAATAAACTTATGATGATCTTTCAGTCAAAATCTGACCATTATCTTTCCATACAATGACTAGTTGTTTGTTTCTGTGTGTAAGTTACTTGTTTATTGTTCGTTTGTTTGTTTCTGTGTGTAGGTTACTTGAGTATTGTTCTTGTTTGTTTCTGTGTGTAGGTTACTTGTGTACTGTTCTTGTTTGTTTCTGTGTGTAGGTTACTTGTGTATTGTTCTTGTTTGTTTCTGTGTGTAGGTTACTTGTGTATTGTTCTTGTTTGTTTCTGTGTGTAGGTTACTTGTGTATTGTTCTTGTTTGTTTCTGTGTGTAGGTTACTTGTGTACTGTTCTGGTCATGCAACTTTGTTTACAATTGTTTGCTCTGCATACAGTATCTTAGCCGTATTTGTTTACAATGGTTTGCTCTACCTACAGTGTCTTAACCATATTTGTTTACATTGGTTTACTCTGTGTACAGTGCCTTAACCGTATTTATTTACAATGGTTTACTCTGTGTACAGTGCCTTAACCGTATTTGTTTACAATGATTTGCTCTACATACAGTGTCTTAACCGTCTTTTTAATCGACCAATATTAGGTTTGGTTGTTGCGCTTCTCTAGAGTAATTCCCAATGTATTGTGTAGATCAGGTAAGACACATTCTTCTCAGTATTGTGTAGATCAGGTAAGACACATTCTTCTCAGTATTGTGTAGATCAGGTAAGACACATTCTTCTCAGTATTGTGTAGATCAGGTAAGACACATTCTTCTCAGTATTGTGTAGACCAAGACACATTCTTCTCAGTATTGTGTAGATCAAGTAAGACACATTCTTCTCAGTATTGTGTAGATCAAGTAAGACACATTCTTCTCAGTATTGTGTAGACCAAGAAGACACATTCTTCTCAGTATTGTGTAGACCAAGTAAGACACATTCTTCTCAGTATTGTGTAGATCAAGTAAGACACATTCTTCTCAGTATTGTGTAGACCAAGTAAGACACATTCTTCTCAGTATTGTGTAGATCAAGTAAGACACATTCTTCTCAGTATTGTGTAGACCAAGTAAGACACATTCTTCTCAGTATTGTGTAGATCAAGTAAGACACATTCTTCTCAGTATTGTGTAGACCAAGTAAGACACATTCTTCTCAGTATTGTGTAGATCAAGTAAGACACATTCTTCTCAGTATTGTGTAGACCAAGTAAGACACATTCTTCTCAGTATTGTGTAGATCAAGTAAGACACACTTCTTCTCAGTATTGTGTAGATCAAGTAAGACACATTCTTCTCAGTATTGTGTAGACCAAGTAAGACACATTCTTCTCAGTATTGTGTAGACCAAGTAAGACACATTCTTCTCAGTATTGTGTAGACCAAGTACGACACATTCTTCTCAGTATTGTGTAGACCAAGTAAGACACATTCTTCTCAGTATTGTGTAGACCAAGACACATTCTTCTCAGTATTGTGTAGACCAAGTATAAGACACATTCTGGTCAGTATAATAAATTAGACACTCGTGCAACACTTATGTATCTTTATTGTGGAAACGTTTCGACTTCAGGCTGAGG